GCTAGTACCAACTGGGAAAGATGAGAAATGATTACGCGCTACTCTACTTATGTACTAGTGTGACACTAACGAAAGATTGCCCAGAGGTGTTGTAGTATACCGTGAACAGTTCGCATGGGCTGGATCCTCCGGTCCTGAGATGCTCTGTTTGGAGCCAGCCATTTGGTTCTATCCACCGTGTCTCTCTCACAGCCTTCCTAAACCGGACGATTCGACTTGTCACCGGGGCGGACGTTGGCCTGGAATCAGAGCCTTATCACCGGTTATTAGTAAGAGAGCGGACTATTGGCCCCGACCGCATCAACGGTATCATAATTTGACAGAGCCAATGACTTCCTTCTCCAGCCGTTTGGCGTTGACCATCTCGGCCTTAATTTCCCTGATTTGACTTGCTCCTGCCAACGCCATGTTCCCTTCGAGCTCCTCCCTCAGGATTTGCACCATCCTTCTGAAACCGGCTTCGCCGTAACCACCAGTCAAACTGTACAGAAACGGTCTTCCCAAGCCGACAGCACGCGCCCCTAACGCGAGCGCTTTGAGGACATCAGTCCCACGGCGTATGCCCCCGTCCACGAAGATCTCCATTTTGCTGTTAATTAGGAAAGGTGCATACCTTCTGATTTCAAGGAGTGTGATCATGGGGGCTTGAGCTCTTGGCCAACGTCAGTTCCAGAACCATCCAGAGATATTCGATCAGTCCACTCACGTATCTTGCGAACGCCCTCCATGATTTGAGAGGACAATTCCTTCAACGCCATGTTCATAGGCAAGGACAGCGTCTTCAACGCTCTGAATGCCCTTCAACACCAGGGGTAGTTTCGTGACTCGTCGAATCCATGCGATATGATCCCAGCACAGCGTGGGATTGAGGAGTCCTGCGGAGCTCACCTTTGCCACACCGGCCTGCTGTTCTTTGAGCACAGCAACTTGATCTTGGTCACTGATTATTTCCTGAAATGTCTTAGCTTTGGAGTTGTGAACGTATATGTCCTGTTACCTACTTGAGCTTTCAAGCGGTCATCTCTTTCTCTTTTCCCCAGCACCGGTGAGTCGACCGTCAACCAGATGGCGCTGACACCGAGAGCTTCCACACGGCGGATTAATGCTTCCGCTTTCTCAGAGTCTCGATTTAAATATAGCTGGAAGAAAACAGGCTGCTTCTTGCTCACCCGGGCTGCAATGATTTTCTCGATGGACATGCTCGGATTGGTTGGTATCACCTGGATAATGCCTTCCTTACCTGCACCTGAGGCAAAATTGCATTCCGCATCGGGGTGTGCATACTTGGCAAGGCCTGACGGGGATACATAGATTGGCATGCTGCAGCTCTGTCCCAAGATGGTGGTCCTTGTGTCGACCGTGTCGACTTTCCGAAGCACGCGTGGTCGTAGAGTGAGCTTGCGAAAAGCTCGAGCTGCCTCGGTCTTACTGATCTCGTCGTCTGCCCCTGAGGCATAATAGGCCCATCCGTTGGGCGTCAGAGTTTTCTCGGCGACGGCTTCGAAGTCATTGACGCTGATCATCGAGCTAAGTGGTGGAACGTCATTTTTGCTTTTGTTCTTGGACGTGGTTCGTGACTGTGATGCGGACTTGGGAATGGTTTCAGCATCGACGACACCCTGAAATGCTGTCGGAGGAAGCGTCTCTGCAATCAGCTCCGGGCTATGCACGCTCTCGTACTCCTCTGTGGCATCTTGGCCAGCACAACGCAGAATGATATTTGCACCTCCCGGGTGTTGATCGAGGAAGTCTGCAGGTGACTCTATGAACCTGGAGCACATTGCCACGAGATGTCGGTCTTACCTGTGACATCGTAGACTCTCCCGTGCACAGCGATCCAGCAGGATTGCCGGGTGTTGTGTTTGGCCACTTCGGGGCCAGGTATTTTGGTTACCTTCATGTTTTGATCACAGCATCATTGCTTGTTGGTGCTATCTCAGAATCATCGTGGTGTCTTAGGTTGCGGTGGTGGCAGCCTTTCAGGAATCCACAAGCCAGACAGATAGTTGAGATCATCAGAGTTTCAACTGGAGATTAGACATATGAGCCGTGCGAGTGATCAGCCTGCCCGGCCACTTGTTGTGTCTCCACTGCCCCAAGTGACGAGATCCATCCTCCCACGCGAAAACATGGGGTACGGATTGATCGAACTACACCCCACGAAAATGGGGCAACACGCCGGCTATGATCCAGTTGCCTATGCCGACGTGTCGATCGGTGAAAACCCGCACACAGAAGCTCGGTAGGTTGGGGGTTTTGCTCGGACTTGATACACCGATTGTGCTAATAATAATATCGGGAAAACGCAAAATATTCAAACTTCGTGCTGGTGTCTTACTCAGCAAGTTAGGTTTGGTGGACGTGGTAGAGCGGCTGACGTCCAACAACACTCATACCCTCCAACACAACCCGAATCGCGTGAAAGCCAGTGGACAAATTACAATATACACGTCTTGCCCAACCACTCGTTCCTCGTCAGGATAGTCACAATGGCACAAGAGGTTAACGTCATGTTGTACGGCCTGGGAGCGTGAGTACTCACAGTAACCGCTTCACAAGCCCGGACCTGTCATACTAACGGAATATAGCATTGGATCTTTCTATGCCTTCATCTTGGATCGCTCCAAACGCGTGCGACTGACTGTTGTGGCCCGGTCTAACTATGAAGCGGTCAAGAAGGATGTCGGTGCAAATGATTCCACTATCACCGAGAACCCAGATCTGACAATTGACAGGGTCTACATATCAAGAGCCAGAACCACGGTGACCACGTCGTCCGGCCGGCCAAAGGTATGGTACACTAGTATCCTTTTACGACTCCATCTAACTAGGGATCCAAGTTGTCAAAACGCCCGCGGAAGCCGGAGAGACATATGACTATATCGTCTGCGCGCACAAAGCCATCGACAATGCATCGGTGCCAACACAGCTCGCTCCGGCCGTCGACGAGAAGACTTGCATTGTAATCATCCAGAATGGCGTGGGCAATGAGGATCCGTTTCGGAAGGCATTCCCGAAGAATCCTATTCTGAGCTGCGTGGTAGGTGGCCGTAAAATCATGCGCTTTGAGCATACGGCTGAACTTACACACTTCCAGACATGGGTCGGCGCCATCCAGAACACTCCCGGCGTCGTAAATCACACAAAGTCGGAAAATACTCAAATCGGTGTCTACCCCAATGAAGCATTGGACCCGGCTGTTGAGAAGTCCCGACTCGACGAGTTCACCTCTTTGTTGCGAGAGGGAGAGACGCCATTCACCGTCGAAGACAACATCCAGATCCAACGGTGGGAAAAGGTAGTTTGGAATGCCGCCTGGAACACTCTGACCACGCTAACCATGCTCGACACCCACGCCTGGCTCAAATCATCGCCTGATTCGATGCCCATGACTCGCAAGCTGATGCGGGAAGTCATTGACGTGGCACGAAAGTGCAATGTCCCCCTCCAGTATGAACTCATTGATCAGCTTATTGACAAGATTCTGGCCATGCCGCCCATTGGAAGCAGCATGCAGACCGACTGTAAAATGGGCAGGCCCATGGAAGTGGACGTCATCCTGGGAACTCCGGTACGGAAAGGGAGAGAGCTAGGGGTTGATATTCCCACACTGGAGGTGCTTCACACGCTGTTGGTCGCCATCAATACTCGATTCAAACCGAGTTTATAGCGGTCCTTGCGTGCGCCCCAAAATTTATAAAAGCATGAAGCCACTCATGAGCTATGTTTGTGTCTTGAGCTCCAACAAATATGTCTCCCTAACGCTTGCTTTCCGCAGCCTCCTTCTCGAGGCTATTCCTGGGGGGAATCGAGGATTTCGAGTGAGCCGTATAGGTCCAGGAAGCGACAAGGTCATGGAGGGCTAGAGGGGGTTAGCCCAAGAAGGACATCCTGTGTTGCACATTGCCTGGAGCACATTGAGAGCATTTCGTTCTGAGGACTTCAACTGCGCGCCTCCGTCTGGATCGAAAGTTGTTCGTGGTCGCGGAAAATGCGCTGCGCCGAATCAACACGTGACCAGACATCGTACATCACGTGGTTCGGGTTCTGGTGACTATTCAATCACGTGCCTTGGTACTTAGTTCTAGTAGTGGACTTCCCTTTGTTTTGGTCTGTCTTTCCTGCTTTCAGAAACAACACCGGTTGGCTCGATTGGCAGCGTCCCATGCGCTAGCTGTCTATCATTGCCAGTGGTATCCGCAAGCTACTGGACACTGAGTCGTTGATAACGCGGTCGACCGTACGATCCATCTCTGGCTCCGGTGGCAGGTCGAGACGCTATGTCAGATGCCTGGCACTTTTGCCGAACAATCATGCGCTTACGCGGTGGGTGGAATTGCTGGTCCAAACGAGATTACGCGGGAAACCCCATGCAAGCAGAGACCACTATACGTCTGTATAGTCAGCCGTCAGCGAGCGTTCAGCATCATCGAAGAATGATTTCTGTGGGGGTAAAATGCTACCTTACTATGCCCCAGAAAGGTAGATCCAATCCCCCAACCAACCCCTGTTCAGTCCTGGCTACACGAAGCACGATCCTGCGGGGATTATCAAAGCTCGATCCTGGCTATACCCCTTGCTACTATTGAATATGAGACACATGGCCGCTGGTGACCGCTCCCATGGACCGGCATCTAGTGTCACCGTACCGCGCAAAACCCCCATTTCCTCGACTATACCGTGGCCGGACATATATAAACCTGTATCTTGCTTAACCTCCCAAAACTGCTAGGGCTTACCGTCCACACGTTCTTAGTCCAGCTGCACCTTTTCCTTGCTACTCCTGAACCCCCGATATGGACCTGAAAGAGATACCGCGGGAGAGCACCTCCTCCACGGTCGAAGATGTCGGGGCGGAGAAAGTGCGCGTCCAGCATGCTCAAATTGTGATGCCCGAAAACCTCATGGGCCTCAATGAAGCCGAACTCAAGAAGCTCGGTCGAAAGGCTACCATCAAACTGGACTGTATCATCATGCCATGCGTGACCCTGATGTACATTCTCAACTATCTGGACCGACAGGTATGCCACCCACTTTGGTTTCAATTTCATTCCTAACCGTGGTGCAGAACATCGCCAGTGCAAAGTTGGCCGACATCACCCAAGACCTTGACCTTTCGGGTGTAGAATATCAGACATCGGTGTCGATCCTGTTCGCCGGATATATCTTGATGCAGGTCCCATCCAACATTGTTGTCGGAAAGATCCAGTATCCGGCCGTTTATATCTGTCTTGCCATGGCGACATGGGGTTTGATCTCGGCTCTGATGGCAGTGGTGCAGGGATTCGGAGGACTTCTGGCATGTCGGTTCATGCTCGGGTTCGTCGAGGCGGTGTTTTTCCCCGGAGCATTGTACTTTCTGTCCATGTTTTATTCGAGACAGCAATTCGCCCTTCGCACGGCCATTCTCTACTCCGGATCTCAGCTGGGCAATGCATTTGGCGGGCTTTTTGCCATTGGTATTTTGGAATTGGACGGAAGAAGAGGTCTTGAAGGATGGCGCTGGGTAGGTGAAGTGTCAAGATCATATCCGACTCGAAACTAACTGCTCTTACAGCTCTTCCTGATCGAGGGCGCCATCACAATCTTCCTGGCCATTGTGTTTGCTTTTATCCTGCCCAACTCCATCCACAAGCTCCGTGGATTTAGCTCACAAGAAAAAGCCTGGGTGGCATGGAACTTTGAGTCTGATCTCGGGCAACAAGACGACTCGAAAGAAGCCGGCGGTCGCAAGGGTCTAATGTTGGCCCTGATGGACCCCAAGATGTGGATGTTCATGGCTCTTCTCACTGTCATCTACATCTCGGCTGCGGTCAACAACTTCTTCCCCTCTGTGGTCGGCGGACTGGGTTACTCTCGAAACAAGACGTACGGACTAACGGCGCCTCCGTTTGTTCTGTGCGTGTTCTGCATGTTGCTCAACGGATTCCATTCGGACAAGAAGCAAGAACGGTACTTGCATATTGTCTGTCCATTGGCCATTACCGTGGTGGCCAATGTGATTGCCGTGTCGACGTTGAATATCGCCGCTCGATGTAAGTTTGACGGACAGGACTCCCAGTGTTTTCTGCTTTCGCCTCTCTTTCCCTTCCTTTCGCACCACCCCTCAACCCCTGTACTCCCCTAGTCTGTGTCACACCACTAACTGCAACCACCAGATGTCGCCATGATGCTCATGCCGGGGTCGTTCTACGCAGCCTCGGTCGTCGTGCTCTCCTGGATTACTGGCAGTTTGTCCCAGCCCGCGGTGAAACGGGCCGCGGCCATCGCCACGATCAATGCGGTCGCCAACACGCCCAACATCTGGACGTCGTACCTTTATCGCTCGTCTCCGCGATATATTCTAGCGTTTGCCGTCAACCTGGCCGCTGCGGTACTGGCCATTGTCATCGCCACCGTCATCAGGATCTACTTGCGGCGACTGAATGTGAAACTGGACCGCGGCGAGGACGTTGGCAGGAGTGGTCCGACGGAGGCTCAAAGACAGGCAGGGTTCAGGTACACATTGTAAATGGACAGTACACACTGTGATGAGGCACAGGGGACAGTATACTGTACACTTTACACTTGCCTACGGTGGTAGCCACTTACATTTCGTTGGCGGCATGATCATGGTGATGGCCATTGACAGTCATAGCCATCGACCCAGTGGCAGCACCTGGGTTATCTGTCAGTAAAGGAAATGTTCGAAACCAGTCCGGTACCAGTATTGTTATCGTTCCTGTTTCCCATCACTATATTCTATCAAACGAAGCCTCGTTCTCGGGGTGCAGCGCAACGCGGTGCGGCGGGAGCTATCTCAGCCTAGATACTGGGGTTTGGTGTGGAGTCTGCCGTTTGCCGGGTCATTTACCATTCACCATCCATACTCTACAACCCCGAATTTCTAGACTTTCTGTCCTGTTAGTTTAGTTCTACCTCCCCATCCACCCCCCATCAACAACAACAACCTCCCCCGTAACATAAGCACTAGCCCTACTGGCCAACCAGATCACCGGCCCCTTGAAATCATCCGGCTTCCCCCATCTTCCCATGGGGATCCTCTCCATAATCTGTCGCGAGCGTGTCTCATTGTTGATAAGAGCTTCATTCATATCCGTCCGAATATACCCGGGCGCAATGGCATTGACGTTGATCCCCTTTCCGGACCATTCGTTGCTGAGGGCTTTTGTGAGTTGTGCAACTCCGCCTTTGGCGCTTGCGTAGGCGGGGACGGTCAACCCGCCGGAGAAGGAGACTAGGCTGGCGATGTTGATTATAGAACCCTTGTTCGAACCACCCTGCGGTGAACCGCCTTGCGGCGATTCACCCCGGGTCAACATATAAGCACCAAAATCACGACACAAAGTAAACACCGTCGTGAGGTTAACTTGGAGAACTTCGTCCCAGTCCGAAAGGGGGAATTCGTGAGATGGATGTCGGCGTTGGATGCCTGCGCAATTCACGAGGATAGAAACGTCGTGGCCGTCAGCAAGGACACGGGAGGCGAGGCCGGACACTTCGGTTTGCGAGGCCAAGTCGGCGGTGTAGATTGTTGCGGTGCGGCCGAGGGCTTGGATTGCTTTTTGGGTGGTGTTGTTGGAGGTGTCGCGCTGCGGAAAGGAAGAGAAGATGAGTCAGTTAAGTTCTGCACGGGAGTAAGAGAACGCATTTTCTCCGCGAGGTCTGGGAGGGGGCGGTTCGTTCGGGTGGGCAAGGGGGGAAGGGAAAGAGATGGGGAATGTGAGGAGTGAAGATGGGATGTGATGCGGAGGGGAAGTCCCTCTGGCTGGGTATCATTCTGGGATGGGACACAATAGATCGCTGGCTATCGCTGCTCACTCAGCCTTGTCGGACGCCATACGTCGCCGAGGTAGCACCAGAGAGGACTGACAAACTGTAGTGGTCAAGCTAGCCTGCAGTGCCCAGTCCAGTCGCGTCCTGAGTGATCATGGGGACCTCCTCCCAGCTGACATCCCATCCTATCCATCCCACTTGAGGAGGGCAGACAATGCCAGACACGAAACGGAACGGAATTGAATGAAAAGATTGAACCACAACCAGAACCAAAAACGCTATCGCTTTCCTTTGATATGACAGAGATGACAGACGGAAGCAAACAGTGAGTCTGGAGTACTGCATACCTGAATCAAAATGATATCAGCTCCCGCCTCCGCCAATCCAATGGCCATGGCGGCGCCGATGCCTCGAGTCGCGCCGGTGATGACGGCCGTGCGACCTTGGAGGGAGAACATGCTTGGGAAGGATAGGGACATGATTGCAGTCCTGGTCCTGTTTGTGTCTTGTGTGTATTTTGATATCGTGCGTAGCGGTACGTCTCTGGTTTGGAACAAAGTTTGGCCCGTGGCGGGTTGAATCCTGTCTGGGTGACTCGGTCCCAGGTTGTGCCTTTGCGTGATGCGTGCCAATGCAATGCCTCGAGTGGACCGATGGTGATAAGATCGAGTCCGATGTCTCGACTTCAATTCCAATTGGCTGGGCGAGAGACAGCCGTGGTATGAAGCAACTCGTCAACCGAAAGAGTATCCAGGATGGCTCTTTAACTGTACTAGTGGGTATGCTCGACAAGAGAGAGTATGGTGTAGATTCAAATGCAGTAGTGGCTGAATTCAATCCAACCAACCTCTCGCTGCCAACCGGATCGCCTTGGAGTTGAGTGATGACACTCACTAGTTTCAGACAAGACAAGGTACTGTATATCAATCAAAAGCAGAATTAATGGCAGGTATCGAATCGACACACTGCAGCGCAGTGATGCTCCGGCCACGTAGCCGACGTCGGGGTTGGGAATGCGTCGTCTACTAGACGGATAACATCCCACGAAGGTGTTGTCAATTCCCCCCGCGGGCGCTTCTTCTCCACATCACAACCGGACCCCCATACTATCACAGTATGCGGCTCAATTGACTTCAAGGGTTCCACAGTGAGGTATAACTTTACATTGGGCGGTATGATATCCGGAAGACCGGAGACTCACCGCGTGCGCGTGGTGGTGGGCCGGCCGTTGCCCGTAGAGAGAACAAGAACATGAACCACTGGCACTCCTGGCGACAATGCTACACTGCTTGGCAGTATCACAGAGAGTTCATGCATACTGTACGTACGGAAGTCGAGTCGACCTGGCATGGCGCTTCAGGACTGTGTCCGGCAAAAGGGCGCATAGGATCCCACCCGCAGTACTAGATGTCTGCCTTGGTAGTTACTGTATAGTACTCAAGTTGACTGTATGCATTGTACTGAGGATGCTGTTATGACTATCTAGGTAGATACCAATCCTGACCAACTGCCCGTAGAGAGAGTACTCCCCTACCACTCCCTTATCGAACCATCAGGACCATAAAACTCCTTACACTTCCACGGCTGTGTCTCCTTCGCAATCCTCCTCACCACCTCCTCATTAATCTCAATCCCGAGCCCCGGTCCCGTAGGGGCCTTGACATACCCATCCTCAATATCAAAGACCGACTGATCAACCAGATAAGTATTGAGATCCTCCTCGCCAGCCTCGACATTATAATGCATCCCCAGGGACATTTCCTGAATCACAAAATTCGGAATACTCAAAGCGACCTGAATACTAGCCGCCAAGGCGATCGGACCTAGCGGGCAATGAGGCGCAATAGCAACATCATATGCTTCAGCCATGGTAGCGATGCGACGAGTCTCGGAGATGCCACCGGCATGCGCAATGTCCGGCTGCAAGATATCGACGCTGGCATCCTCGAGAAACTTCTTCACATCCCAGCGCGTGTAGAGACGTTCGCCGGTGGCGATGGGGATCGTCGTGCTGTCGGACAATTGCTTGTACCCTTCTGGATGTTCAACGAGTAATGGCTCCTCGATGAACAGGGGTCGATGCGGCTCTAGCAGTTTGGCCAGTTGTTTGGCCATGGACTTGTGCAGGCGGCCGTGGAAGTCGAGGCCGGCGTCGAGTCCGAGCGCTTTGACTGCCTTGAGGCGTTCGACGGTTGCGTCGAGAACCGAGGGCGAGTCGAGCCAGTTGACGTCTTCGGTGGCGTTCATCTTGATGCATTTGAGACCCTGGGCGATGCGTGCTTTGGCGGCTGCTTCGATGTCTTTGGGCCGGTCGCCGCCGATCCAGGCGTAGACTTGGATCTTGTTGCGGACTTTGCCGCCGAGGAGACGGTAGATGGGGACATTTAGTCTGCGAGCTGTTGTAATGTCAATGTCAGCAGATTATTCCTACGAGAGAAGCAAAGTAGGTTCTAGTGCTATTGGGAGGGATTTGGAGGGGATGGTGGTAGTGCTGAGCCGTGACAAGAGACGGAGACTGAGTGTTTGGTGTATGCTTACCCTTGAGATCCCACAGCGCAATATCAATTCCCGACAGGGCAGACATAAACACCGGCCCCCCGCGGTAGAAGCCTAGACGCCAGATCGTCTGCCAGATATGTTCGATGTCACTGCAGCAAAGATCAGTATTGGACTCTCGTTCGTTTCGGGCGGTGTAGCTTTTTTTCGTGGTGGATTGGCCTGACTTACTCGGCTTCATATCCTATAATCCGCTCAATAATCTCGTCCAAAGCACCCTCCACGGCCTGGGAATGTCCCTCCAACGTCCCTTCTCCCCATCCATAGCCTCCTTGGTCGTCGGTGATTTTGACAAACAGCCACCGCGGCTTGACGCGGAAGTACTCGATGGTCTTGATTTTGGCCAGTTTCAAAGGTGCCACTTGTGGTGTTTGACCTTTTGTGGTGCCGGCCTCGGCACGAAGTTGGGATGTTGCCATTGTAAAACCTACGGAACGAAGCGAGTAGGTTGTAGTCCTACGAGCAAAGAAGTAGGTACAGTAAATGGCCGGAGTTGTTGCTGAAGCGAAGGAGTAGGTACCTTAGGTAGGTATTTTCGCTCACGGTGCCCAATCTGGTTTGCTTGTTTTGGCTCTTCTCACCTCACCTGAACACACTGGCGAGATGATAGAATTCTGGTAAATGTAGTAAATCAAAAACGATAAAGTAAATTCCGTCAAAATGTATTGTCTCACTCGGCAGACTGCCCGTGTTAAACAAACGGATGGGCCGACGGAACCGATGGACGGACTGTCATTGAGCCGACGGGGCGATGAGTGAGCGAGTGCGGCGAGTGATATACTTTTGACTGTTTTACCTTATGGACCTCCAGTGCTCCCTGGGTTGGCCCGGTGCTGCAGTTTATCTAATTACTGTGGGAAAGACTGTTTCTAATTAGCCGTAAGGTTGAATTTCTCAACTTGAACCGGGACTTGGAACCCCACAAACTTGAAGATGAAGCCCGAACTTGAATGGGGATAGGCTAGCTTCCCAAGCCTAAAAGTAAACCCCCTCGACCCCCATCCTGCCCCGAACGAGACCCGAATGACCCCCAACTTGTCTTTCCTCCCCTCCCACACTCCAGCCCCTGGCCCCCATCGCGCCGCGGGCAGATTGCGTCGAATTGTCCGTCATTGACCGGTTGAGTCAGCGCGGGGGTTTGTTCATACACTGCCCGTGATACCGGCACGCCGGTGACACTGACACCTTGGAATAGAATGAAATCATCACTACTCTTACCTAACTGCTGTGCAGTAATGAGGGCAGCGTAGGATTTCGTGCCTGGATGACAAGATATGGCAAGGGAACTCAATCAGTGAAATTGGAATGCATGGGGTTCTACACAATCATGATGCAGAGGCATGGTGTATATATTTTTCTCTCCCTCACACCAGCCGTTGACTTCAGGTACTAGTAGTAGTGATACTCTACCGAGGTAAGACTGAATGTCAGTGGAGTGGGCGACCGAATCATGGAATGGATTTCATCAAAACACCAGTTAGCTACAAGCAATGTACAACAGACAGACAGACGTTGCATCTCATCTAGACGCCAGAGATGCTCGTGATCATCACTACCTGATTCATTCAACAATATATCCAGGTCGTCCAATTCAGAGCAGAAAATTCCGAATGCGTGGCGGGCAAAAGGCAATCGACCCAAGCCCAAGAAATTCACCACTCCACATCGACTGCAGTATGATGCGACTGCTTCCGAACAGCAACCTGACTCAATCACAACTCGACATGTCTTGAGTCAACTGCACTGAGTGGTTCATATTATCGTGACCGACTCGCCCCCCTCAGCAACACGATCCCATTATGCAACAAATCCGCCGCTTCATGCAACAGTTCCCACCTGGAGTCACGGAACGCGGCCTCTAGAATGACCAAGACGCCAACGACATTGTTCCTACCGTCCTTGATGGCATCAAGCTGCTGCGGCGACTTGGCTGCGCCGACAGTCTGCAGAAACGCCTGGGCGTCCTTGACCACCGCGTCGACGTGGTAATCGACACCGCTGCCGCCATCGTGGGCCGAAGAAGTCATGTTGAGCATTGACGAGTGGTTGGTGTTGGAACTGCTGGCGTGGGAGAGCACCGATGCGGCGCTGGGAGATGCGGCTGGCCCCGAGCCTACACCTGACCCGCCGAAACTCCCTCCAGTCGCCGTCGCCGGAGGCTGAAGCAACAAACTCGGAAACGGACGAAGAACACCATCCAGAGCAAATCCATACGACCAAACCACCAGCGCAGCGTAGTACAGCGACCACGGCCGGACCATCAAATGATCATCACGGGCATTATACAGCTTCCTTGAAACATTGGGCGGTGATGTCGACGACAGCAGCACCGACCGAAGTAGCTGCAAGGCATGCCACACGCCAATCTTAGCACTGCTGCCCTTGGCCCAGTCAAACACCTTACATTTGACTCTCTCGTAATCGGCATTGGACACAGACCGGCCAAACAGCTGCTTGATTCCGGCAAAGATCTGAAGTTCCATGACATCCACATGCATGGCCATGTGACTGAGATGGTGAAGCACGTCGGCCGTCTTGGCCATGTCCTCGTCTCCAGCCACAGTCTCGTTCTTCTGCCAGGGCAGCGCCGCCCGTCTCATATGTTCGACACTCTCGTCAAAATCGCGCTTCCAGAAATCAAACGCTTTGGTCAGTGGATTCCTCCACCCGTCAGGAACACCCATGGTCTGTGACACTCCCAAGCTAGACACCTGCAGATCTCGCTGGTGCATGTGCCATGAAACAGAAAGCAGACCGGCCATGAGGATCATGCGGCCGAAATTGTTGGTCCGGACTTTACGACCGATCAGGGTCTTTTTGAGGCCGTCCAGGAACGTCGTCGGTTTGATTCCGTTGGCATATAAGCTGGCCTCGACCCGGCCGACTTCGGCAGCAGACGTCGCTGACCAGAGGGCGTCGTCGCACGGCAGAGGCAGTCGGATCTCGTGCACGACCATCATCGCCGCGTGCCCAAACATGGTCGCGTGCACCGCATCGAGATAAAATGCCGCGTAGGCCGCTCGCCGCGTAGCTTCGGCCGTGATCCAGCGACTCCACCATTCGTCGGGCGTCGAGGGCACGCGTGAAGAATCCTGGTGGCTGGCTGCTGTCTCGATCAAGTTCGTGCCTCGTCTCATCAGGTTGATGGTCGTTGCGTAGTGGATGTGCGACCGTTCATGAAGCAGTCGGTTGGCATTCATCGTCTCGTATACCTCTAACAACAACAATGTCTGAAACACCCACAGTTTAGCTGGTGGGTGGAAGTCGTTGTGCATAAATACCTGCCATCGCAGGTGCCAGGCAATAAATGTAGCCAGCCGAGCGGCTGCATCGGTCACGGCTCGCCCGTGTGCTCTATTCAGGTACGCCGCTCCAATGGCCATCACGGCCAGCAGTAAGTATTCGTGAATGTCGTCCGCCGAAAAGGTCGGTTGATGTAGTATTGGCATCTGGGCATGGAAGTGATACCAGTATGAGCCAATGTAGTGTCGCATCGACCGGATGCTGAGGACATGGTCCTCGGCATCAATGTTGCCCTGGAAGATTTCTTCGCGCAACTGTCTGACAAATGGATTGTCTCCTTCGTTGAATCGATATTCCATTAGAGAAACCAACGATTTCCGCTTGGTATGTGACAATAGATTGCTGTCGCCGGCAAGGGCCAGCTCGGGTCCTTTGCTCACTGACTCCGTCGACCGCTGCTGCACCATGCCCGGATATGCATTTTCCAGCGCAGGGTCGGCGAAATAGTTGGGATATATGGCATTGCCGAAGCTATCGGCCGCTGTTGGAAAGCCGATCCCACCGGCGCCGGGAAGGGCGAATGCGGTCGTGTGCATCCCGCCGGCATCTTCGAATAACCACGCGGTGAATTCGTCTCGGACTGATATGGGTGAGTCGTTGAAGGGCTGCTGCTCGCCCAGACTGGGTATAGAATACGTCGTAGTGGTGGACAGGTCCTGTGTCTGCTGATTGCTCGACGTGGGGACTATGTTGGCGTTTGTCGATGGTGTCGATTTGGCCAGCATTCCGGGATCGAAATTACCAAAGACACTTTCTGGTATACTGTTTGTTCGTTGAAGAGATAGATTGGACTCGTTGGGCATATGGGGCATGGCATAGTCGCCGGTTGATGCAGACGTCTGCTGCGGAGCCGAATCCAGCATGTGCTGGACGGAGGCCGTACGAGCAGGCAAAAAATTCTGTGAAGAACTGTGACCATTGATGCCGTTCGACTCCGGCCTCGATTGTTGAATGATTGCTTGTAGATCCGTAGGTTTGAGTGGAGAGGCTGTTGAGAAAGACGTTCGCGCCAAGGCTGGGGAATGCAGCGTGTTTGATGTAGGTGAAGCCTGGTCATTCATGGCCTCGTCGCTCACAGACGACCTAGGCGATAGTGGTCCGTTATGGCCAGACGACGACTGTCTTCTCGTTTGCGACTTTGATCGTCCGTCATGCCGTTCTCGGTGACGAATGCAAAGGTCCTGTCGCACAAACCTCCGCGTACAACCTGGATAGTCACACTTGTAGATCTCTTTTGGGTTATCTAGCACGGGGTTAGTTCATCCTCATTGTAAAAGCCGGCACGGCCCTTTGGAATGAGACCTACGGTTTAGCTGATGGCGAATCAGGTGCTCTGCGCGTGAATAATCCTTCCCACAGCCAGGATATGTGCACTCGAATCGGCGGCGAGGATCACTCCTACTTGAGCGACGTCGTTCCGAAGGCCCACTGAACCCGCTTTCAGACTGCTGGTTCATGTTGGGCGACATCGCCGAGTCGTCGAGGCGCGGTCTCTTAGGGTCGGACATCACGAGGGGTCAAAGTTAACGGAACAATCTGCATCGTAGACCAGAGAGCCTTGCGCGCAGCTCACCCAGTGGTGGTCATTCGCCGTAGAAGCGCAAAGCCAGTCGACGGTCGTCAAGTGAGGTCTGGGCCTTGAGCCAAAGGTGGCGCGCGCCGACCGGACGAACCGTGGGCGAGCGCTAATACGGGATTCTTGATGGCGGAAACCTGGAGACCCCGGAGTCTTGTAGCACAAGCCGATGCAGTCGGTGCCGGCAAAAGGCGTATCGTGTTATGGATTGCAAATACAGCGCCAGGCCCGCGGTCGATTGTCGAACTGAACTTGAACTTGAGGTGGAAGAAGAAACGACGCCCAATTTCGACCAATCCGCCGCCGTCTCCAAACACGGAGGACGGAATTGCGGCCCGCCCAGACTCCAACTTTTCTCCCCGCAATTCTTATGTAAGTCGCCTTATGCAATCCTGATTACATAAGACAACACTCTTCGACTGGCATGCCCATATCATGTTGCTGGGCAGGGGCAGGTGGCTTTTTATCTTTTCCTTATGCATTCCTGTATGTCAAAGTGGACAACTTGGAGCCTACACACCTGTACACTACTACTATAGCATTGAAGGGCTGTACACAAGTCACGATTCTCGAGTCCATTGATCACGTTAACATACATTGTATGGACTTGCACCGAGTGCTTTCTGGTATTTCTTGCGCTCACTAACGGAACCCGCCAAACGCAAGACAGAATATATGCAAAGAAGGTGCCTCCCCCCACTCGAGTAATACAGTTCTTCTCGTACAACTGGGTCCAGTTGATCATGCTAAACAAGCCTCCGGACGTATTCCACTGGACCATCATACACATGTCGTGCCCTGATGAAATAGTCTAGCACAGCAAAGATCAAAACCGCTCCGAAGATCAAGGCACTCCAGTTCATCTCCGCCACCGTTGGGTCCACGTTAGCCGGCCAGAAGGCAAAGATGAAGGCAAATGTCAGGAACAACAAGCTAAATCCGTTCAGGAAGAGACCGACAGGGCGGGAGAAGGTGAACTTTGCCGGCAAGAGAGGTTGGCGGGTCAAGCGTTTCCAGAAAACGCAGCCGGTCGAGACGATATATGAGGAAAGAATGGCGACAAGGGATAGCGAGGTGATGTTGTTGAGGGCGATTGTCGAGCCGATATTGATCAGGGCCAACAGGCAAGAGACCACAAAGGACACGACGATACTATTCATGGGCACATCCCAACCAGGTCGGACCTGTGGAGATAGTCAGCTGGAATTCTTTCCGGTATCAACGTAAACATACATATGCAAACCAAGAGTGTCCGGGGACGCCCTGATCACGGGCAAAAGACCACAGTTGACGGGAGGCGGTTGCCGTGATAGACAAGTTGCAGAAAATAGCGTTGAATATGACCAGCGCCGACAGCACAGATGCACCGGCGTAGGACTTTGTGGCGTTGTAAAAGACCGCAATGTATGGCTGTCCAGTGGGCGAATAAATGACCTCGTCTAGGTTGCCCAGGGTGAAGCAGAAGGTGATGAGTATAATCCAGCCCATGGCTCCGTTGGCGATGGTGGTCGCGATCATGCTGCGTGGGAGGACTTTCGAGGCGTCACGGAGCTCTTCGGACATGTGCACGGCGCCATCGGCGCCCAGCAATGGAATCATGACAGCCAAAATACCCACGACGGCGGACAGACCGTCGGAGCTCCACCCTCCGTAGTTGTTGAAGGTGGTGAAGACCTCATGTGCGCTCGCCCGGGGACCCAAGACCCACAGAGTGATCAACACACCAAAAAAGCCGAACACATGGACAATCAAGACGATTCCCTCCACAAGGGGGAGTTTCTTGACCAAGAACGTGTTGAAGAAGACCGAGAATGATGCAACTGCAAAGGTGAGGAGCGTACCATGCCATCGCTCAGGCACGTAGTCCGGATAGTTCAGAATTGCAAGACCCTGAATCTGGGTACCAGCCAAAAATGCTATATGCCAGTCAGTTTGCTTGAACGCTGTCACCGTTGGCTGCGACTGTGAGAGTAGAGCAGCACCGTGATGTGCCGGATACTGTCTTACCTGTGTTTGCTGCGCCTGTCTGCCACCCAAGAACACAAAGCCAGCCTAGAATAAAAGTTAGAAGCCGATGTCTCCAGGCGTCAGCACACACTTACCGACAATGAAGCTGATGAACTTCTGATACCGCCTTGGGGCAAATTCGGAGACCCAGTGGTACTGGCCACCTGAAGTCGGAGCCCTGGACGAATGTCAGAACAGGGTTGCGAAGGAGGCCCGCATTGAGAACATCTTACATCGAGCCCATTTCGGCCATCGAGGTGTTGACGGCCAGAAAGCCAATCCATGCCACAAGAAACATCCAGATCATACCAGCGGTGCCGCCATTGCTTAGGCCAATGAAAGACGTACTTCACCCTAGGTCAGCGTACATGTCATGTTCACAAGGCTCGGGTTATATTTACCCCAAGACAGTCTCCCAGCTGGCCATGAGTATCATGGAGAATCCAAATATGGACACGAAACGGAAATTGCGCTACCACTACCGGTCAGATATTAAGGGCAAGACGATCATTGTTGAGCTTACCCGCAGCTCCTGGGCCTTGCCCATGCGGAACATATCACGCTGGTCATCAGCCGTGCCTTTCTTTTGGCTGGAAACATCTTGACTCGAAGTTTCCAAATCAATCTGAGATGTAATGATCTCCTCTTGCTTTGTTTCGGCCATCTTGGTAGAGTGAAGATAACCGCCGCAAGTAAAAATCGTGCTGTGCAGTAACTGACGCAAATCACTATATCAACCAAGCAGCCAGTGTACGGGTGCACTCTGCAGCGGCACCAGACGCAGCGACAACAATGAGCTTGAAGCAGAAACACCACGAGAAGGAGAAGGCCAGGATCCAAATTCAAGAAAAAGAAAAGAAAGAGATTACTGCCATGTGTCGACTAAAGTCCGTGCTGCTAAGGGCTGTTGCAAATCCTTTCCCGTTGAAGAATGGTAGAAGCGAGAGGGAGCCGCTCCTGAGCGAGTAACTTGGACACTACTCCAAGTCGGTTCAAGCCAACAGGGGAGGCTGTCGCGAGGACCAGGGAGTAGGAAAACCACAGTCGCCGAAGCCAGGGTCCTAGACAAGCGTTGGCATATGATAGAAAGAAGTGCACACTCGCGAACTGATCAGCGCCTCACATGGGACGGCGCCGTAGCTCCCCATTTCTCAGCAAACCGAAACACGCCTCACACACCTCACCCTGTATAAGTCTTGGATTTCCCCGTTGTGACGGTCCCTAAATCGTTCGCACTTCGGAATCTGGGACAGAAAGGCCAACAGCAATTATAGGCCCACTTTCCCACAATGATCGCAGCTCGGCCCACAGGAACCTATCCGCTAGTCTTCGATTCGGGTGTCATTTACCATTTTGGTTGATTGGCCGTGGGAGTCAGGCTAAGTAGGCAGGGTCGTCCACGGGCCGCGGGCAGGTCAAAGTTGGTCGGGAGCACCCCCAACGGCAATTCAAGCCCAACCCATGCATGATCTGGAGTGTCCTAAGAGTCGTCTCTGTGTAACACCAGTTTCCTATATTTCGCGCAGATTGAGGTTGAGAATGTAAAAGGACATCATGGGAGCAGCAACACTCCCTGGAAGCGGGTGCCACATAGGGTTCTACCAGTGCATGACACGTTAACTCCGCTCAGGGTTCGATGTCAACTCCCCAGCCATAAAGACACTGCTCGCAATGCCACCAGGTAGATTGTCGGGCACTAGTATGTATGGGGCGCTGGAGCGCAGCCATCTTTTGACATAATACCAAGTCGCTTTTCTTGCTGCACCTTGTACATATGCCAGACTGCCGGCGGATACAACCAATGAAGCGGATGGGGAGCCTGCCGCAAGTAGCAATGGGTTGATGGCTTGAGGGGCATGAAAACTCTACCTGTATGCTCGCGGGCTGTTGAACCTGGAGTCCGGAAGCTCGAAGAAGAGCGTGAACATTGGTATGTGGGGATCCTTTAGGTGACGTTTTTTCAGCACTAATGCACGAATGAAGCGAGGAGGAGGGATTTGACGCGAGGGAGGCCGGGAGACAGGCGAGTTGACAGGCGACTGACAAGGTTGAGGGTTCAAGCCTGCACTGGCAAGGCGTGAGTGGTGAGGTCAAGGGTGCCTGTGAACTTGAAGTTCAAAAAAGAGTCCAGCTAACGTCGGACTGTCGCAACGCAGTTTGGCAGGTTTGATGGGGGCAACTAGTAGTGCGCCCTGCAGCGTCCTAGGCGTATCCCCGGGGTTTGCAGTTCCCGATGCCGTAGGAGGTAGCCTAAGGAGCCCCAAATATTACAGATTACTATGGCTTTACCACTATCAACCACTATGCAGTTAGCTCTGTTTATGGCACATCCACTAACCGGACTGACCTCTGGGCCTCCACTCCCGTAAGTTAAGGTTGTACTAGTGCTCACTTCTGGAGGAGCCGGTGCCTGCGACCACTACCTACCTACTACTAGGTAAATGGTACAGGTACTACTATCAGTAGTAGTAGTTCAACCACTGCCAAAGCTGCCTCTTTTGCATCCTGCGCAGACCAATGGATGGCCGAAGTTGCGCTACTTGCACAGTGACAGCCGTTGTTGGATCTTTGATTCTCGTTACTACTGGACGGTTGTTTTCTATCTATTGTACGTATTCAACGTCACGCGATTTGCCGTCTTCTGACTACGCTCACAAGCCTTTCGCAGATATGCGGACCGCGGGGCTTGCATGTTGGCTCAACTTCCGAAACCTCGTGTTAGGTGATCACAGAGTTCAATGCAAAAGATTGCGAGGCGGCCATTCAGCCAATGTCTGATGAGTGTGGCACACTTGTCGGCAGTAAGGTTCGCAGCCGGCGTTTCTTCCGCCCGCCTCAGGGACAACATTCGAAGCATCTTGGTGCGGGACAGAGCTTCCTGTACCTGGGCACAGTACCTTACCCTTGGAGCCCGGTCGTTCCCCGTGTCCAAGCCAACCGGTTGAGTTACACGTCGGAGCATTTTAGAAAGACAAAAAGCTTGAGACCTGTTTCTTAGGGGTTGGTGGTGGCCTGGGAGATCAGTAGATGGCACGCCATATGGTGCTCTCCCACAATTGTGTTCCAACGGGACCTGAGGTCAAGAACGCAGGAGACCCCTACACCTTTGTGTCCTGGACCGCGTGCAAGAAAGTGCTACCGTCGCAAAAATCCAATGGTGGTTGGTGGATACCAGGTACATGTACTTTCAATGCAACCCCACTTTCTCTTCCCTCCCTTCGCAAGGACATTTCAGGAGAGCAATATTTCCGTTGATTCGCAGAACCGTGCAGGTGTTTCGGCCGATACTTTGGCCTCGCGGCAGGCTTGCGTGAGAGGCGTCGGCGTGGCTTCTAGGAGGAGTCCTTACTCCTCGTGCGATGAGCGGTTGAGCAGCTGAGACTTGATTCCTACGGCTCGATAACGAGGAGCCTGTGGTGAACAGGGTGTGTCCACGCGTTTGTAGGGCCTTAATCCGAGAGCATTGCCGTCCGACCATTCGAGGAGGGGGTGTGTGCCGCACAGGACACTGCGGGTTGTGTGATGGCACGAAAAGATAGCACTGGCAGAGCTGACGAAACCAGCGGAAGGCAACTCTGGACCAGGCCAGCCGACTCGTGGGAAGCGAACTCATTGTTCGGGTTTTGTAGATCGCTGCTTTCGAGTTGGGTGCCATGAAGGAAGAATTATTCTCAGAGTGCACCGTTCCTGCGCCGAGCGGCGTTCCTGCCGTTGCCCTCTGTCCAGGCCTCGTCTATCAGTGCTCTTGCCCTAGCCCTACAAGAATGAATACAGATTATACCAGTTTTTCCCCGTGGTCCAGCTGCCACTGCTCTTCAGTACATCCTGTGTTTATATAAAACCCGAGTCATAGACACCGCCACCATTATCCTTGTTTCCGGCGCGCCGACGCTGTATCTCCTTAAAACATCGCCAGATGTCAAATAGCATGGATGGCCTCTCAAATTTGGGCACCATTGGCGTCGGTCTCGTAATGTATGTTCCACTGTACATCCTTGCGGATGATGTGATCCTGACTACCGGCACTGTCGATCGATGCCTGATCTCTGGTGGTCGGTTTGCTATCGGTGCTGTCGTCAGGTTCTTGGTGAGGCATGTGCGTCTGGGTTTCGACATCGTTGTATGATCGGTTAGCTGACCTTGACTTGGAGCCAGCGTTGGCATTCACAGAACCCATTTCGTACTGATTGCTGCCAGCATAACGTCCAGAACTGTATGCCCGGGTACTGTCCGGATCGAGCTGAATACCGAATCCGCTGCTGAAGCTCTTGACAAATGATTTGAGATTAGGAACCGTGGCTGCGATCAGGGTCCAGCACAGCTGAACTTGCTGGATGACCAACACGGTTGCCATCGCAACACCAGGGTTAGACGATCCTGCATACTCCGAAATGAACTTGAGATGGACAATCGACAAGGCCGCGACCCTGGAGCGCTTGTCAGAAGTTGAACCACGATAAAGGAAAGATCCGTGACCTGGGACATACGGTAAACGGAACGCAAATGCCAGGACAACCTGCGACTTCATATAAAACGCCATCTGGACCGGCCAGACAATGAAGATGGAGAGCAAGACCAAGACACACTCGGTAGCGACATCGAAAGCAGTGATCAGCTGCCAGCGCAAGAACTGCATCCAGTCAACAGTCAGATAATCTGTGCATGGTGTTTGGCCTCGTGCATCATCATACCTGGCGTGAACATCTGCCCTGATCTCCTCTAATAAAAGTTGCAGCATGGCAATCTGCCGAAAGCGCGACGATGGACATTAACCCCCAGAGACCGATTCCGCCGAGAAAGCCGACGCTGGTCCAGTAGAGAACTCGCGATCTGGGTTCATTTTGCGATCTTGGTCCGGTGAGATTGAACAATCTCATCATCAAACACAGAGTTGAGGCTTTCGCTGCCGCGGCGGCCAGGATGAAGAATATAAAGCCCGTGAGAGCCGCCTGATACGCCTCGTCAATCACTTTCTCTATGTCAATGGAACAGGACGACGTACTCGACTCGCCTGTTTTAGCTCACTGGCTAGGATAAGGTCTTGGGTCCTGCCCAGTCCGTGCTGGAGGCCAACAATGACAGCGATGACCTCTCCGACCTGGAGCAGCTGGAAAGAAGTCAGTTTTCAGTCTTCGCATTTACCGCAAAGGACCGTATTTACCGTCGCCACAAGAGCGAGATAGTCATCCGGCCCGTACATCTTCTTTCGCAAATGACCTCTCAGGAACAGCGTGAGGACCGAATAGACCAGACATAAAAGCGCCGCAATCCAGACGGACCCAGCATGGTCATCCGGGGTAATTTGAGAGAACCGGTTCTCTCCCGACACGGTCGCCATGTCGACGCTTGATGTGGTTCAGTTTGAACAGACGATAAAAAATTCCGTGTGAGGGCGGTATAGCCCGATAATGATATTGATGAGATCAAGCACGGATCCCCCGTACCTGGTCGATCGTCTGCCCCAGGATCTACCAACGGCAAGTTCACATGCTGAGGTTGCTCCCAGACGTCTCTGCCGCCACAGATTGCGGAAACCAAGCGAGTTTAAGTTTCGCTGCAACAGGGACCCGGCACGGAAATGTCAGGTCCAAACCACCCAGGCAGGTTCTTGTGAGAGTGGGAAGTGGTATTCCCGTAACACTCCTCTCAGCCCTTGCAGTATACTATACCTAGGTACCTATCACTTCATTTCGAGCGCATAGACCCCTGCTTGGAAAGCATCAAACCGCGCGCCCGATGGCTAGCTATCATTCATCCAACTTGTCCGGCATGCGTGAACGGACACGGGAAATTCCTTTGGACTGAAAAGAGACCTAGCTTGCGATAAGGACGTTTTCGGCCTTTGACGGGCTTTGATGGGCGGGCGCGATCTGTACGAGAGCGTTGGTTCGACAGACACGGGCCACTGGCATGTTCAGAGCATGAATCCACGCCCTCTGGGGACCTAGAATCGATCATCTTGCGCAAGGACCGCGTTGGTGTGTCCAAGGGTTTAGCGGCAGCATTCACGTCCGTAAAATACGATACCGGGTGCGAAACTTGAGCTTAACGGATTGCAAGGGTGATGCTTGTCAGCAGCAAACCTTCTGCTCCTCAAAGCCGCCAGTTGCAACACAGAGAAGATCAGCTGGCTGCGTTTACCCGCAACTATTGGAAATTGACGCCTTGCCACAGCCGTCGAGGTACAGCTGACAACGGACAGACTGCCGTTCTCAGCATGACAGTGTCAGAAGTGGCGCCAGGAAAGTTCCCACAAAGGTAGCAGAGCTGTCCCACCACGAACACAGGCAGAGGGCGCAACAAGAACTGCTACGAGGACGACGTCTGTCAAAGCTGCTCTTCCACCACGAACATTGCATGGCCGAAGATATCTGAAGAACTAGCGGGCTTTCAGCTTTGGAACTATGAGAGACGATGGTGGGACCCTCTGAGCGAGATCGCCATCCAGATCACCGAACACCGGCAACAAAGCTCGTCGATCTTGGTCCCAGCAGCCCCGTCGTACCCCATCACATTTTGCAGGGCCGCAGCGGTCGCTGAATAAAGACCCAAGAAGTAAAGATCCTGTCGCCTTCCACTCCCAGCGTTAGTGAGATACTCGGGCAACTACAACGTTACTAACGATCACACTAGCATTAGTAGGCGGCCCAATTGTCCTTCCGATGCCCTACATTTTATAATTGGGGTTTCAAGACCAAGCACGCCTTCACTTGTCTGGGCTTGAATGGGGACTTGCGCGTCTTCTCGATGCCGAGTACCGTTGGCATCCTCCAACATCTAGCAGCCTGGACACGGGTCTGTGACCCTACCTAGTTGTCGGAGAACAGGAGTGCGGTTGGAGATGCCCGGCCACCAACCGCCTTGAAGCTGCTTCTCTGACACCTTTTGACAGATGTCCCTGAGTCTCGGCACGCAGTAGTGGGCGCAAAAGCAAGAAGTGGAACTGCCTTTGCGCTACTCAGGTCCTGTCTGAAGCTAGAGTCGTCCCCGGCCTGGCTGGCCGTTTAGGTGCCGATGAACTAGTTGTTCAGGGACGTTGAGGAGAGGTAGTAGAGTCCCTACCGCCGTACCTCTATCGTCAATCGAGAACGCGACACTGTGGTACGCACTGCTTCTTTGCGACTACTGGACCTGCTTGAGCATGCCATCTCAAAATAACGGCCTGTGAGAACGCAACCCGGAAGACTCGTCGCCCATTCAACGAATTTACAGGAGACAAGGGCGCTGTCGCTGTGGCTCAAGGCTCATCAGTGCATCAGACAAAAGGAGACTGCGCAGGGTTTCCGAGGCCGCGTAGCAAGCAAGGGCCATCCATATTGCACTCCATCCTCGATCTTGCATGTGTACCACAGTCAACTTGAATGATATTTGCAGCACGCTCACACGTGCGAGTATTCTGCTGGAAGTCTGCTGCAAGGGGGGGTTCTGAAGGCTTCATTCCAACTGCAGTCACCTGACGACACCCTCCAGTATAGCCTGAGCTCGTGGCTTGTTCAGCAGCTCGGTGCCCTTGCGAGACGGAGATAGAAGCGACAGAAGCCTTGCGATTGTTGATTGTTACCGATGATCTGGTCTGCCGCCGATTCACAACCATCTACCGCCCATCACCGACATGTCACAACCCTTGCCGACCACTCGATCATCGCCATCTTCTGCAATATCCGCACAGTGGCCTGAAGCAGAATCTGAAATAACACCTCTCCTTGCCACCACAAGTTCTGATCCCACGCCGACGTCGACGTCTTCGCAACCTGCCTTCACACTGCGTTACGCCAGGTTCGCGGACCTGTCACCCGCGGCACGCACCTGCTCACTTGCGTTCTGGGATGACGTTCTGTTCGGGCGGTTGATTCATCCCCATCGCTCCCAGTATCCCACCGATGTCGATAAGTACTGGTATCGCCGGTTTGTCGTCGATTGGTGGGACTGGAGTCATGTGTTTCTCGTCACGACGGAGACTGTGCCGGTGAAGGGGGATGGCGATCTCCAAAGGGTAGTGGATGAACCAGGACCGAATCGACAAGCAACTCCCAAGATCCAGCAGAAGGAGATAATCACCGGGTTTGCGCACTGGAGCCGCATCGCGCCAAGTTGGAGGGAGAATTACCGGGCTGGTTGGGGTCTACCGTGGTGGGATCCGAGTAAGTTTTGGTTTTTCTTTGTACTCCTGCCACTGCCGTACCTAGACCTCTTGTGTCCTCGTCCAGCTTTGCCTCACACCGAAACTTGATCTCCGTCGATTTTGCGATGCACGACCTCAAGCAGAAACATATCCCTTTTTCCCCTGGCAGTCACTGTAGTGTCTCTTCGCCTACAGTATGCCTGGAGTTGTCGCGGTGTCGTGTTCTGCCCTTGCCGTGCGTATCGCGAGCTGTCATGATTTGCTCTGTCCCGCCCAAGCTTGATTACAACACTCGCAAAATTCGCATAGTGCAGTCTCAGAACCCAGCAGACCCCGTGGTCCTGGGTAAAACATAAAGCGGAGACTCCATTTCGATCCATTTGCTCGCAAGCATGGCCGGCCTCGGCGAGAGAAGGACGCCATCCTCTCTTGCCATGCTCGTGGGCGGATCAACATGGCTGTACTATGCCTACTATGCATGGACCGCCGGGAGGCGTTCTCGTCCTCAGGATACGGTGGGTGGTGCCATCTCTCCGTTGCTTCTGGAAAGAAATGCTTTCAAGGCGAGTGGGTCCTTTGGCTGTGTCCAATAAGGTGCTAAATGCGCGGTTATCATGTCTTCCAACATGCGACGTTGTCTGCTTCTATCCTTGTTCTCATATACCTCATCCGCGTCACCCAGCTGATCTCCCTGACGCCGGACGTGCTCCAGTCATGCATGGCCCCATGGGTGTTGCGAGGCTTTATATGTGGCAGGCAGGGACTAGACCGGTGCAAAGCCCTCTCTGCGCATTGATTCGTGCGCGAAAGACTCGAACCAAAGGTCAAGCCGGCTGGCTGGCACATAGGAGAGTTGTGTCTGTTGGCTCAATACCGCCGTGATGTTTCGACGTTTTGGTTTGGTTCGAAGTTTGACTTTCTCCTTTTTTCCTTTCTCCGGCTTGGGCGGAAAAACAGGTCGAACGATTTCATTTATTCCTGCTGCCTGCTCTGGTCCAGCCAAGATCGGGATAAAGGACTTTTGGCGTGGTCTGTCAACATTTGTACTCGGACATGATTTCGGTGAAGACTTGGCCTTCCCACCCGCGCTCCCAGAGGACACCGCTGCCATTTGGCCCTCGGCCACATGCACGTCTTGAGAATTTGAACATATTACACGGGGACTGGTTGATTTCTCCGTCTGTTTCACATTGCGCCTTGGTCTCATTGGACCTGGCTCGCTTATCTCATGTTGTGCTTGCTTCTCCTCGAGTGACAAACTGGACGTCCAATCGGCTCCAGCCCATGCACCTACCTACCTACCCAGGTCTCCTTTGGGGTCTTCGCCTGGTCATGTGTCATTCTAGGATCTCCCAATCCATCTCCCCCCGTTTGCTAGCTTCACGCAATTTTCCCAAAAATCATTCCCTCCTCTCCGAAACCAGAATCCTCCATCCACTAACCTTGCTTTTCTGTTCTCTTTCGAACTACTAGGACGCATACTCAAACCTCTCTTCTCCCTCATTTTCCACCACATTCTCCCGTTTGTGTCTCCGAACCGCGCGGCCTCTTCACAGCACGAGTCCATCATCGAACAATCCGTCGACTATCTCGACCACATTTGGACCGGCGAGCGCGCCGAGTCATGGTATTTGGAGTGTCTGGCCGTGCACCCGGCGTTCCAGCGGCGTGGCCAAGGTCGCGCACTGGTGGACTGGGGACTAGAACAGGCGCGCAAAGAGGGCATTGCGGCGAGTGTCATTGCTGCGGATGGGAAGGAGCGGTTCTATCAGAAGTGTGGGTTTGACGTGGGACCCGTGGGCCGGTCGGGTGAGGGGCTGGGGAATCCTTTGCACGATGTTCCGGGCGGGTTGGTTTTCTTTAGGGATAAAGAGGGTGTGGTTGTCAAAAAGAGGGAGGTAGGAAGCTGGATTGAGGGTCCAGAAGGGGTGTTTGATTGGGATGGATGGTTGAAGGAGAGAAAGAAGGGTTCGTAGGGATGGGAACGGGGGATTGAGATGAGACGGTAAAATGGATAGATTGAAGTTGGACCACGGGGTTCTGACGTAGAGGTAGTTTACCCAGGTGTCTGAGCATCTCCTCTCCTGTGTGCCGCCAGCACGAGGAGGTTCCATGGGAAAATATGCATTTGAGAGAGACGAGAATGGGGCCAAAGAGAGGATGGTCGCTGTGTAAATTATCGTCGTTCACCGACCACGTACTCGGCAGGAAGTCTACAGCTACCTTAGGTACCTATGTAGGGACTCCAAGTTACTCGTACTACGTGACAAAGGTCTACACATGGCTAGCGCGTTTTTTGTTTTTCGCAAAAACACGCGCACGCGTCTCCCTACCTACCCAGGTACACCTTCCTGTCTCCTCAACAGCAGACCACACCATGCCGCAACGAGTGCCCGAGGAGCCTCAGGTTGTTATCGACGCAAATACTAGGAAACGCGGATCCGAATTGTCTCCTCATATACGAGCGAAAATCGAAGGCGCACGAGCCGTGGGCGCCTCATGGAGAGCGATAAGTAACACGTTCAATGTGCCGATCAGCACGGCGCGTACAACTGTGCGACTGAGCAGTGTTCGCTCCGGCTCAACTACACTACCACGCACCGGCCGACCTCATATTCTTTCTGAACGTGATGGGAGGAAGATTCTGCGTCTAGCGCGACTCAATCCGCGTTGGACTTATGGGCGTCTTATTTCCGAATCTGGGGTAGACGTCTCGACTCGGACGGTCATGAGGTTCCTGAAGCAACATGGCATCACGAAGAAGAGGGAGAAGAAGCCTCTTTTGAAGGAGACTCGGCATGGTGAAGAAGAGGCTCGCGAAGACGGAGACGCAGACGCCCGGAATACGAGCATCTCGACTTGACTGGCCTCCGCGGGACTCGCTTGATTTGTTGAACCCAATCGAGCACGTCTGGAGCACGTCTGGGATATCCTCAAACAGTGCCTGCAGGGGTACCTCCCACACTCCGATCTCCTGGACCTAGGCCAGCCCCAACAGGAGACTCTCAACGCGTCACGGTTTGCCAAAGCAATAATAGTCGGAGAGTGGAATGCGAGAAAATCGACGAGATAATCAGGTCAAGGAAAACTGGGATGGACGCTGTACTACTGGACTCGGAAGGCTGGTATACGCGCTTTTGAGGAGGCACTTGAATTGGCTCTGTAAATAGAATATATTATTGAACGTCCAGAAGAAGACTCCAGGACCATGCGACAGCGCTGGGACCACGCTAGCCTTCAGGATATCGCCATGCCTGCTCAAGCCATGGACCTCCTTATATGCCCATATTCCTGACGCTGACCCTCGTAAGTCTCGGCAGGAGTGAGTGTTTGGTCTTCTGAGGTTCTGTCCCATCATGATGTTTGCACCAAACTCGTGGGCGCCACACACCCTTGTCATATGGACCAGACGGTCGGTATGTGGGAGCAGGGCAGGCTGGGGTGGAGGCTCTGTGGGGGACTGGTCCGCAGTTTTCCGGGACAGATACCGACTAGGCTGGTATCTTGGGACAATGACCTCATGGATTCATTCGAAGTTGTGGCGAACACAAGATCCCAGCAGATGTTGTCGCCTTGCGACGCAATATAGCTCGAGTTCACAGGAAGCTCGTTATACGGCCCTGACGCATGGTAAACTAACCTTGAGGAAGTCATGGTAGCGCAGCACAAGCCAGGTCGTGCTAGGCTTTGAACCTCACGTGGCTGCCTATAGGTCCAGAGTAACCGAGGAGCCGTTGCGGTTCATGCACCCCATATCCAAAACATTAGGGTAGCCGGGTCAATGCCGGAGCTGTAGCAGGGGAAAGGTCCACGAAACCCCGAAGTATGGGATGAGGTGATGTTGCACATCTGGCTGGCACACCGCCGCTCCCACAGCTCCAACCCCCGGACGGAGCCACGGAAAAATTGGTTGTTCCACTACATTATTGTACACGTGATACTGTAGTCGTGGGGGTAGTATGACACATTGCTCACCCCACGGCTGCCTTCATCACCCCCATCACCACTCTCCCACGATCATCCCACTTACCCCCACGACTTTCCTCTCCAGACCGAGCAACGTCCGTCGCCTCGCACCGTTGACCCAGTCAGCTGGCCTCTCCTTTCTGCTTTCTACTTTGCCAATTTCAGGTCTAGCAGATGCAAAGTCTCCGCAGAAAACCCAGAAAACAAGCGAGAAAGGAGACCTGGAGGTGCACCGTTGGTGCAAGAGACCAGGCTACTTGAAGCACGATGCCCGTTACGGGGCGCGATTTGCGGACGGAAGCCAAGCGATCCCTATCAATTTTATTGCGGGGATGCGGATCATTTCGCCAGGCGACGTCGCCCTCCCCTATTTTCACCCACCACCACTACTGCAGCAAATTGTCGCTCAAAGTCAGTCGCCGTTTGGGTTGAAATTCTCTGCGCGGACTTCATCACCACCATGAGCAAACCCTGGACTCGGCTATGAACTTGTCAACTACCTACCCATCTGAGGTGTGGTGTGTCTTGGCCCCGGCCATCATCCGCCTGGTCTGTGTGTGATTTGTCTGGTCTAGTCTGGTCTGCTGTCGGTCGAGTGATGCCCTCACTCGAAAGTCGGGAAAGCCTGAAGAGACCCCATATCCACGCGGCGGACTCCCTACTCCAGCTTCCACCCCGAGCTCTCTCCGCCATTCCGGGTTTTGCGCATGTAGAGGGCTGGGCCAGCCACCCCCATCATTTTGCTTGATATATAATCATCTGTGAATCCTCCTTTCGTCTGCCCTACCATCTTATACTTAGCTACATCTGCGTCCACAGGAGCAAAGGGAGCAGAAAATAACCACTCGAGCCGCATTCAATCACATTGGGCCTCAAGATGGCTTCCCTGGACGACAAGACCGCACCCATGGCTCACAACGAAGATATTGAATCTGCCCGCAATCCGTCGAAGGACTCCATTAGCCAGGACCGGAAAGCCTCCGTAAAACATGGTGATCGAGCACTGGCAATCGTGGGCGATCAGCGAATCGAGCTCACAGAAGAAGATGTATGTGAGAACATTTTTCATGTGGTGGATTGGATCCTAATTTTTTCTCACTAGAATCGACGAATTCGCCGAAAGACTGACAAAGTCATTCTCTCCATCCTTGTCTGGGTGTATTTCCTCCAGATTCTCGACAAATCCGTACTTGGCTACGGCGCTCTTTTCGGCCTACAACAGGACACCCACCTTACTGGAAACCAATATTCCTTCCTGGGTTCTATTGCCCCGATCGCCCAGCTGGCCTGGCAGCCGTTCTCTTCCTTCTTGATCGTCAAGGTCCCCCACCGGATTCTGATGCCAGCTCTCTGCCTGGGTTGGGGTATCGCACAGGCGTGCATGGCTGCATGCCACAATTACGGCTCCTTGCTGGCCGCTCGCTTCTTCCTCGGTCTTTTCGAAGCCGGCTGTCTCCCGCTCTTCAGCGTCATTACCAGCCAGTGGTATCGCCGGGCTGAACAACCGCTGCGCGTTGCTGCTTGGTATGGCACCAACGGCATCGCCACGATTGTGGCCGCAGCTCTCTCGTACGGTCTTGGACACATTCGTTCCAACGTCATGCAAGAATGGCAGATCATCTTCCTGTTTGTCGGTCTGGTGACCATCTGCTCGGCCCCAGTTGTGTGGTGGTTCCTCGACAACGATATTCCTTCGGCGCGCTTTTTGGACGACCACGAGAAGGCGCAAGCGATTGAACGTCTTCGTGCCAATCAAACCGGCACAGGATCCCGCGAATTCAAGTGGAGCCACATAATGGAGCTTGCCATCGAGCCCAAGACATACCTCTGGATCGGATTGGCACTTTTGCTCAACGTGGGCGCTTCCGTCACCAACACTTTCGGCCCGCTCATTCTCCAGGGCGTCGGGTTCGACAAGTACAAGACCTCACTGCTCAACATGCCATTTGGAGCCATGCAGACCTTGGTCATTCTTTTCGCCTCATGGGCAGCACAAAAGGCCAAACTCAAATCGGCCGTCCTCGCCGCCCTCATGCTTCCCGTCATTGCGGGTCTCGCCGTGCTCTACGTACTTCCTCGCGGCCATGAGCACACCGGCGGTCTGCTCGTGGCTTACTATCTCCTGGCGTTCCTCTTCGGCGGTAACCCGTTGATTGTCTCCTGGATTGTCGGCAACACTGCTGGTAGCACGAAGAAGTCGGTCGTCATGTCCCTCTACAATGCCGGATCCTCGGCAGGCAACATCATTGGGCCGTTGCTCTTCAGCAAGAAAGACGAGCCTGCCTATCATCCCGGTCTGCGCAAGGTCTTGGCCATCTTCGTCACCCTCGTGGCCGTCGTCGGCATTCAGCTGGTCAACCTGATGTTCTTGAACAAGCTCCATGCCAAATCCCGGGTGCGGAATGGCAAGGCTGCCGTGATCAAGGACCATTCCATGGAGGACAAGTATGTTCCCATGGACGAGGAGGTCGATGAGAACGGACACAAGCTGGGCGAAAAGGCTTTCTTGGATCTGACTGATCGCCAGAATGACGAGTTTACGTATATTTACTAGTGGTTGATGATGGACACATGTTCTTGGGTATTGTCTAGGCTGCAGTTATCAAAGCAGGAGGGAATGAATCTCCGGGCATATTATATTATTGTTGTGGTACCTCCATTTGAACCTCTGTTCCTGCTTCAATTGGTGTCAACATTTGCTGAAAGACCCTCGCCGCCAGTCTGCTCGTGCCGGACACGTAAGACAAGGCCAATCTCAGTGCGGGTGCCTGGATCGATCGCACGGGGAAACTCCGGGGGAGCCCGAGCCGTTTGGTGCGCAAATGATTGTAATGACATTGACGTCCGGCCCTGCACTTGCATTATTGTACGCGGACAACGCCTCGAGGGTGCGAGTAGCACCCAGTCTGACGGAGGCCCCAGTTCCCCGTGCGATATTGAGACAAAAGTCCGAGTGCTCCGCAAAAGTCATACCCCGGGCCGCACTGCAGGCAGAAAGGGCACTGCACTGCAATCAAACCACCACAACAGTGTCGTGCACCATAGGGGCCTTGAGCCCTGGTGCCCAGGTGCCAACCTTGATGTGAATGTATTTGTTGTTGCTGCCTACCGCATTGTCATCTCTCGCGTATCTATAGCTCTGGCATATGGGATCCCGGTACAGCGGTCCCTCCTGCCACAGTACGAAATGGTCTTTCTTCGGGTATCTACAACGTTGTAAGTAAACCAATTACGCACCTAAATGCCTGCCGACACTACGGGCACTTTAGGTAAGAAAATATAGGTGCGAATGAGGGCTAAAACAGAGCCAAACCACCTAAAGCTCGGTGCCTAGTCCCGCTAAAAGCGGTTAATAGGTAACAACACGTTTAACTGTCTCAGCCTCTGCACTCCGAGTCGCTGCCAACCACATCGTCCATCGTGGATCTTGTCGGGTTGACGTACCCGTATTCGCATCGGCGTGTTACGGATCCGGGTGAATTTGGTCACTTTCGAGTACTATTAGATCCCTGTCAATCAGGCGCTGCCGAGCCTTTTAACCCCTACGAAGGCAGCAACCATAATAGTCACATCGACAATGTATAAAGGATCCATGCCCGTTCGATATCTCGTCATCCATCCGAAGGCAGTCTTGAGCCCGGAATACTCTCAGTCTTGAGCCAAATATGTGACGCAGCGCAGTTCTGGAAACTGGCGTGTTCATTCTGTATAGCATTGTTCAATCGGGTTGAAGCCTGTCGCGATGAGCGCAGTGGAGCAACAGCCTCCCGTGGCAGAGGCCAAACTCGTGCCTGAGCCAGGGAAAGCTTCCAGAGATGAGGCTGTTGTTACCACCAAAGAGACCTCGAAGACAGAGGCAGCGCCTTTTAGCAACTACTGGGTTCGTCATGTCGTTTTCATGGCTTTCGTCGTTATGCTCATGCCCACTAGCGCATCCTCTCCCATCGGACCACGGCTGACGGATATGTTCTGCTCCTTGGCCTGTTATGCGGCGTTGGATCCGGTACTGTATGTTGTTGCTCCATGCAAGGTTAGTCCGGCATCTTCTAACAGTGTCCAGGCTATGCCGCTCATGAATATCGTCTTTGGAAATTTGGTCGGCGACTTCAATGGATACTTCCTTCCCAATACTACGGTGACAGAGGCCAAGTTTAAGTCAAGCGTGAACCGGAATGCGTACGCAGTTGATCTAAGCAAAGGACCTGGTCGGCGCTGACACGCATGGCAGGCTCTACATCGTCTACCTATTCATAGGCAAGTTCGTCCTGACGTATGTCTCAATGGTAAGAGTGGCAGCCTATTCTCAGACGGAGTGGGCAGTTCAGTGACTGTCCTAGTTCTGCTTTCGGACTACGGGACTCCGTGTATCGGCCCGGATTAGACTCGCCTACCTTGAATCTCTCTTCGCACAATCGGTGGAAAAGCTCGATTCGGTGTCTTCTGGGAGTGTCGCCAATACAATCACGACCTCGGCCAATACCATCCAGATGAGCATCTCGGACAAACTCTATGGACTCTTCATGAGCCTGGCCCTTACCATTTCAGCCTTTGCCATTGCCTTCCGGTATTCGTGGGCGGTAACCCTTGTCTGCACCTCTGCCCTCGTATTCATATTCCTGACTTACTCCGTCACTGCTCCCTACATCATCAAGGGGCTCCAGAAGTTGGGCAAAGCCAATGAGGCAGCTGCATCTACAGCAGGGGAGATCTTCTCCTCAATCAGAGCTGTATTCTCACTCAATGCAGAAAAGACCATGACGAAGAAATATTTTGCTCATCTGGAGGAAGCCGACAGAACAGGATTTGCTCTGTCCGTCCCATACGGGCTTCAATTTGCCCCCATTTTCTTCGCCATGTACTCGAACTACGCACTTGCCTTTTGGTTCGGACTCAAGCTTTTCCGCGAAGGCCATATCTCGAACATCGGCACGGTAGTCACGTAAGGCGAAACTCCTCGCTTCATTTGGTGCTACTAACGTGGTTGCTTAGTGTCTTCTTCTCTGTCATGATCGTGATCGCTGTCCTAGGAGTCATGGTCGCCCCCATCATGGAGATCCAGAAAGCAGTCGGCGTTTCGACCGAGTTCTTCTCCATGATCGATTCCAAACCGGTGAAGCAGGACGGTGTCTCTGAACCAGATGTCTCTGCCCATGACGACATCGAACTCAGAGACGTCTCTTTTGCATATCCAACCAGACCTACTGTCCAGGTGCTCAAAGGGTTCAATGCTCGGTTTGAAACGGGAAAGACCACTGCCCTCGTCGGTCCTTCAGGGTCTGGTAAGAGTACCATAGTTGCATTGTTGGAGCGGTGGTATGAATTGGGAGACGACCAGCCAGAAAAGCCCGAAACTACAAATGAACTGTCAGCAAACGTCACATCTTCTGTTGAGAAGGGAGAAGCGCACAAAGGGTTACCAAGCCGCACCAGCGGCGTTGTCTCGATCGGAGGCCGCGACATAAATGAAGTCAACTTGAAGTGGTGGAGGTCGAAGATTGGCCTTGTTCAACAGGAACCATTCCTTTTCAACGACACCATCCTCAATAATGTCGCCTTTGGCCTGATAGGGACTAATTGGGAGCACGAGGATGAGGCAGTCAAGAGGATTCGGGTTGAGAAGGCATGTCAGGAAGCCTTTGCGGATGAGTTCATCCAACAACTGCCAGAGGTGAGTGTAATAACCCCTAGGTCCTCGTCTCCACTGACAAAGTCAGGGATACTTGACAAAAGTCGGAGAGAGCGGTATCAAGCTGAGTGGTGGCCAACGACAGCGGCTCGCCATTGCTCGCAGTATTATACGTGAGCCCGCCATCCTCATCTTGGATGAGGCCACCAGTTCGATCGACGTCCGTGGTGAGAGAATAGTCCAAAAGGCCCTTGACCGAGTCTCTCGAGATCGCACGACCATTGTTATCGCCCACAGGCTCTCGACTATCCGCAAAGCGGACAAGATCATTGTCATGCGTGAAGGATGCAAGGTGGAGGAAGGCACCCACCAGCAACTTTTGTCTATGCCTGACGGGCTCTACGCAAGCCTGGTACGGGCGCAACAACTTGAGGCAGAATCTGCGCCCGACACGGTAGAAAATGAGGACGAGGTCTATTTTGACAATCTCGAGCGAAAAGAGACAACTGGCTCTCTAAAGGAAAAGCCAGATGGACCAACTTCAACTTACAAGGCAAAGGGGTTTTTCCGTTCTTTCGGCCGGTTCATCTACGAACAACGGAGACAGTGGGTTCTCTACCTTTTTGTGCTGGCAGGGGCATCGGGAGCAGGAGGTGAGAGGTGCCCTATCTCTCCTTGGCTGCATTGTGCTAACAATATGATATCAGCCTCCTTCTCAATCCAAAGCTATATCTTCGCTCACGTAGTGGAAGTCTTTCGACTGACCGGGGCCAAGATGAAAGAACGAGGTGACTTCTGGTCACTGATGTTCTTCATCCTTGCCCTGGGCGTCGCGACATGTTATTTCATCGCGATATACTGTGCCAACAATGTCTCCGTGGTAAGTCAGGGCGGTCTATCAGGGGTTTCGGCGTCTAATTCAGTCCAGCGCATTTCATCGACATATAAAAAGGAGTACTTCCAGAACATCCTGCGGAATCCCGTGTCATTCTTCGATATGGAGGAAAATGCTTCCGGGTCTCTGATGTCGCGACTATCAACCGATCCAAAGCAGGTCCAGGACCTATTGGGTCTAAACGGCATCTTCCCCATCATATCGATTTTCAACATTACTGGTTGCGTGGCGATCGCCTTCACCTTTGGCTGGAAGCTGACGGTGGTCACCTTCTTCTCTGCCATGCCCGTCATCTTCATTGCCGCCTTTGTCCGCATCCGATATGAGCTCGAATTTGAGAAATGGAACAGCGAGGTGTTTTCCCACAGCTCGCAATTTGCCACCGAAGCCATTGGCGCTTTTCGCACAGTCACCGCCTTGACCATGGAGGACTCCATTGTTCGGAAGTACTCGGACCTTTTGGGAGTTCAAATCAAAAAGGCAACGTTCAAGGCGACATATGCTGCGCTGGTGTTCGCCCTGTCCGACAGCATAGAGCTTTGTGCCATGGCTCTGACATTTTGGTACGTATCCATTCTCTCTTGACACGAATATGCTTGCTGATACTGTCAATCTAGGTATGGAGGACAGCTCTTGGCTTCACGGGAATATAATCCCACGCAGTTTTTCGTCATCTACGTGGCAATCATCCAAGGCGCCCAAGGCGCCGGGCAGTTCTTAAGCTTCAGCCCCAACATCTCTCAGGCCACAGCGGCGGCAAACCGCATTCTAGGGCTCCGCCAACAAGCGACTGGAACACAGAAAGCAACCAGCTCCCACTCCGGCAAGGCCTTGCAGGCGGTGGCGAAAGATGTCGGAGGAGCCAGCATCAAGTTCTCCGGTGTCACCTTCAAGTATCCAACGCGGGATACACCGATCTATCGGAATCTCAGTTTCTCGATGGAGAGCGGTCAGTTCGTGGCTTTCGTGGGACCCTCCGGGTGTGGTAAAACCACCGTGATTTCGTTGCTCGAGCGATTCTACGAACCTCTTTCGGGAACCATCACTTTCAACGGCGTTGATATTCGGGACATCGAGTTGTCATCGTACCGACGAGCAGTGTCGCTTGTTGCTCAGGAACCCAAACTGTTTGACGGAACCATTCGTGAAAACCTTGTTCTTGGCCTCCAGGATCCCGACGACGGGGAGAAAGAATCCGTCTCAGAAGAGAGAATCATACAGGCGTGCAAAGATGCCGAGATCCACGATTTCATCATCTCCCTTCCCGACGGATACGACACAGCTTTAGGGATCAACACCCAAACGTCGCTCAGTGGCGGCCAGAAGCAGCGATTGTGTCTGGCGCGGGCTCTGCTACGGGATCCTTCGCTTCTGCTTCTGGATGAGGCCACTTCCAGCCTTGATTCGCAATCCGAAAAGCTGGTGCAGGGCGCCATCGAGCGGCTGGTGGGTCAGCGCAGCATGACGGTCGTTGCTGTGGCGCATCGCCTCGCGACTATCCGGAAGGCAGATGTCATTTTCGTCTTTGGTGCAAATGAGGTCGGTCATGGCTCGAGGATCCTCGAACATGGCACGCATCATGAATTGGTTGCTAGGAGAGGTATATATTGGCAGATGGTAAGACTTGAATGTCCCCTTTGTTCCTGGACTTTGTTCGGTTTAGGGCGTTGAATGCCTTGTCGACTAACATCTGTCTTCCACACAGTGTCAGGAACAAGCTCTGGATCGATAAGGCTGGCTGAGCCCCCCAGAGAGCGGGGATCGATTCGGTTTGTGTTGAATACTACTGTACAGAAACAGCCCACTCTACTCGAGTCTTGCCGTTGGTTCTTGGGCCGGCCGACCTTTGGATCTCTCCTCCCACCACGCGGTACCGGCTTCTTTGCGGCACGTTGCGCATGCACAGCGTTAAGTGGCACGACGTCGGGCCTCATACATACTATATATATATATATATATATATATATGTACTATGTACATTTGTGGGATAAGCGGCGTCAAATGATGCAACTCCGTGCCCCACAAGCATGTTCCCATCGGGTAGGACGTCCCACCATTGGAAACAATTGTAAAAATACCAAACCATGGAGAATGAATCGCCTTTTGTTTCCTCGTCTATCGTTTCCTTCCTACATACTTTCCAGATAATATGTACATAGGTGCCCGCCCCCTATAGGATCGATACAGAACTACCACAGTTCGAAATCAATTCGGAATCCTTTACGGGTTTAAGCGTATTAAGACTATATTAGCTCTATATAGGTGCCTAGTCTATATAGAATTAATACAGTATTAACATCGTATTAATACAGTGTCGAAATCGTTTAGGGGATCGAACACATATCCAATATGAATCTAAAATAATTCGAAAATAATTCGAAAATAATTCGGAATCGGTTCGAAACCGGTTCGGAACCGCTTACGAGTTTAAGTTTATTAAGACTATATTAGCTCTATTTACTTAGATTCCAAGTTTCGAGTGTATCTACTACGTACGTACTTACCTTCTCAATTATTATACTCTAACTACGCGACTTCTATATATATATCTAGTCGAGCCTATTAATTATTCTATAATATTCGAGCGTCCCGTTAAGCGCCCTATTAAGCGAGCGTATGGGTAGTTAAGCGTATACTATACTGGCCTTCTATAAGGGCTCAACCTAAGATCGATCTAGGATCAGACCTAGTTCGGACCCGGTTTAGTAACTAGGTCTAAACTAGGTCTAAACTAGATCCGAACTAGGTTCGAACCGGATCTAATCCTAGATCGGAGGCTTAAATTGTTAATTTTCTCTAATCCGGATTAGAGAAAAATTACGTATTAGGCTAGTAGTTAAAAAAAAAAAGAGTTCGAATCCCACTCGCCCCGGGGCACTCTTTTTTAGTTTTAGACTACCGTTAAATATTTTTCCTTTTTAAATTATAGGCGATAGAGACGTCATTACTACTTAACTACGACGCTATTTATAATAGTTTTTTCGATATATAAATCTATAATCTATAAATATTACGTGAAATATTAATTTAAAAAAAATTAAAATTTATTACTAAGTTAAGAAGTAATCCTCGATACGCTAGTTAGCCTATAGCGATCTCTATAGCGATCTCTATAGTAATCCTCTCGTAATCCTCTTATAATCTACGTTACGTTATTTAGCCTATAAGTAATTCTATAGTGATTCTCGAGTAGAATTAGATTAGGATCGGAGTAGGGTTAATATAGCGTCGATATAGGATCGATATAGGATTAATCCTTTATAGGAGGGCATGTATGTAATCTTCTCGGATCCGGATCGGATCTAGATCGGATCTAGATAATATATTAGGACATATAGGTGTCTACCGCCCCCTCTAGATCGATATAGTATTAATACTGTATTGACACGGTTTCGAAACCGGTTAGAGAATCGAATACGTATCTAATATAGTTCCACTATAGTTCAAAACCGATTCGAAACCAGTCGGAACCGTTTACGGGTTTAAGTGTATTAAGACTGTATTCGAGTATATCTGCTAGTTTAAGTAAATCTACTATATACGTATCTTTTTAATTATTATCTAACTACGCGACTTCTATACGTATACCTTCTACGTACTATATATATATCGATCCTATATCGACCCTAATCCGATTCTAATTCGATTCCACTCGAGAATTACTATAGAATTACTTATAGACTAAAAAATATATTAAATTATAAGAGGATTAGTACTATAGAGATTACTATAAAGATTACTATAAAGATCTCTATAGACTAACTAGCGTATTAAGAATTACTTTCTAACTTGATAATAATACATAGTAATAATTCTATTATAGTTAATCTAGCTTCTATTTAGAACTACGTAGACTTTCAAGTTTTCTACCTTTTCTAGGAAAAAACTCGCTCTCGAGAAAACTCTCGTCTCGAGCCGCCTTCGCTCCGCTCGTACTTAGTATCTCTACGCACTGGCAATTCTTCTCTTTAATTATAACAGGTCCCTTATACTACTACTCTCTACTATTCCGTAGGGTACGGTATAGTAGAGTCTTCTCCTTCTCTATCTCCCTCGTAAGTCGCTAGTAAGGCGACTAGCTAGCGAGCTATATATGCCGCGAGTACTAGGCGTACTACTTAGTAGCAATAGGATCTTATCTTGTCTCGCTGTTCTATATCGCCGTAGTAGTTTAGCTCTTTTATATCTCGGCTAGTAGAGTAGGACGTATTATATACTAGTAGTCTAAGTACATAGTATACGTTCTGTATAGGTAGAGCGCGCCTAGGCCTATTACCTCGGTTCGCCTATCCTACTCCTATCATAGTATGGCGTCGTCTATGTCGCTGGGGCCCGTCTCCCCCGGGGCCTATCCCGTACCGCTCCCTACCGCTCCTTCTACTGCTCCCACGACGCCTTGCGCACATACGGTGACGTCGCATCCGACTTACTTCTTAACTTAATTTGGTTTTTTTTTTAATTTTATCTTTAAAATATATATTACGTAATATTGTAGATTATAGATTTATATGTTCAAAAAAAAATATTATAAATAGTATTATGGTTAAGTAATAATATCGCTATTATCTATAATTTAAAAAAGAAAAATTTTCAAGTTAATAGTAGTCTTAAAATTAAAAAAGAAAAAAAAGTACTCCTTATAGGTTTCGAATACTCTTTTTTCTTATTTTTACTATTATAGTACATAGCTAATACGTAATCTAGATTCGATCCGAATTAGAGAAAATCAATAGATTAAGTCTCCGATCCAGGATCCGATTAGGTCTAGACCTAGTTTAGATCTAGTTACCGAACTAGGTTCGAACTAGAAGATCTAATCCTATATCTGATCCTAGATCGATCCTAGATTGAGCCTTTATAGAAGGCCACTATAGAATTCTACGGTAGAACTGCCGCCTATTGGCGGTAGCCCAACTTGCGCATTGCCCTGTAAGGTAGTTCTAAACTACATAATACTAACCTAAGGCTTAATAAAGTACTATATCAACATAGTGTCAACTCCGATTTAAGCCTTAAATCGACTTTGGCTATAGTCCGAACCCGGTTCTAAACGTTTCTTTTATCACTGATTTAAGCACGCCAAGATGGATCGAAACCGGTTCGAAGCCCGTGCGAAACCGTAGTAGATATTGTATTGAACAGGTTTCGAGACCGCAGTTTTAATCTGGGTCCTATAGTATGTATGGCCCCTATGGTAGATCTGTATGTCACTGGATCGGGGAAATTTCTGTATTGTGTTACTAAAAATCTAAAGGTCCTTGAGGCGGCGAACAGCGACGGAGATGCGCCCAGCTGCGTGCATAGACAGGATAAATGATAAACAGATAAGACCGAGGTTACTAGTAGATAGACCTATCTTAAACGTGATAAGGATTGCGGCCGATATGGTGCTGCTGATGTTGAACGAGGCTCGTACTGTGTTATCGCGGCCGCCAGATATTTGGGTTGCTCGTGCGACTGGGCCTGAATCCATCCATTATTGAGACCCGGGAGGGGCCAGGGCCTCCAACGTCAACTTCTACTGTCTGGAGATAGATCTCCGGCGTAGCCAGCCCAGCTCCGGGTATTCGTCTACCGCATCTCGGTCGGTCGAGCGAAAGACAGTGTAGCCTATGTTATGCTGAGACAATTTCGATGATATGTTCAGCTTGACTTGGCCGATGAAGCTGACAACAGCTTCGTATAAACCCTGTGCCTCGTAAACAGAGCACGCGGAACAGCCTGCGACTTGAAGCCGATGTCATACGCCTCGAGCACTGCAGCTGAATCGACCCTTGTCGGGGGAGTCGCGACCTCGGTTGGTTGGCCATATGACCCTCCACCATCGCCGTTGACTGCCTGATGTGACCCGCTTGCTGTCAGTCAGGGTCCGCCCGCTGGTTATCAGTTGGTAACCGCCAGCAACCTTCGTTGGTGTTCCTCGTCATAGCTTCCCTTGCGTAACCTATACTACTCCATGTTGTCCATGGGCGGTGGGTAATACAACAAGCGAGAGCATTGAGTGCCGTGACGAACGACACCGTGCGACAACAGGACCATCCGCGGAAATGGAACGAGCTTCGGCTGTGCACCACTACAGCAGCATGCGAACCGTATTGAGTTCTTATCCTCCGAAGTCAAATAAACGAGGCCCTGAATGTTATAGCAATGCATCGCGTCGTTGGATCGACCCGTGATAAGCATGGCACCGTTTGTGACCACTGGCAGCAAGATCTCATTTTCGACCAAAATGGAAAACAAGACACCGTATCACGAACACCCCACCCCTTGCTGCTTCCGGGTACTTATAAATGTGTACTTCCACCTCGGGGCCTAACGTGAATACTAATCATGGTCATGTTATATACAAGCACGCCGTGCTTTGGTCTGGCTTGCTGATGTTCCCACATCGGCTCGCGCACCAGATCTCTGAGCAGCAGACAACACATCATGTTGTATGCCCGTTTACAAGTGTCCTGCCCTTCCAAGGGTGGTGACAAGACTGGTCTACCTTCAAATACACATACTCAACAAGTTGAACCAGACCACCAGCATCGTATCTCTTCTCTCATCCAAGGACGGCTTAGTGTGCTCGGGAGCTGTGTGGACCAATATCTCTTCGACACTGTACAACTACGGCTTAGGGGTATGTCAACAACTACAACAAGAACTACTAACCGAGTTAACTACTTGCAAAGGCTAAAGTTCACGAAACAGGCATAATCATATCCTCCATTGGCGGAGACACTGCCGTTGAAGACATCATCACCTTGACCGACTTCAGAGCCAACACTGATTTTGTATTATCCGCTCCATCATGTCCGGAAGACAATAATGCTCCAAATACTCGACATGTCGACTTTTACTTCGTACTACCAACCCATGTCACGACGGCAGACGGAGTATCGCGATCTATCCCACTGTCAACAAAGATATCAGGCACCACGAGCAAGAACACATGTCCCAGGGGAGGAGGCGGCTTGAACCCAGGTCACCAGCAGCAGCACAATGACATCCACGGTGACTGCGAAGTATCCTATTGGATCGAGGCTCAATTCCGCCTGGCGGGTTGCGAAGTCGGATTCCTCTGCAAACATATCAAGATCTCGGCTTCTTCCTTCCTTTATCCTCGACTATGTGCCTCTCTGGCACTGCCCAAATGTCCATCTCCATCACCATCACCATTCTTAACGCTACGAGCCAAACCTCATCTCCTCTCACGGTGTTGTCGGCTCCTCCTCCAAAAGAGTCCAAGTCTCCAGGTAAGCCTGTACGAACCGGACATGGCTATCAAACAAAACCACGACTCCAAGCGCCAACTCACGATCCCACTCGCCCTCACCATCGACAACACTACTACTACTAGTAGTAGTAGTAGTTCCCAATCCGCCACACTCGACAATCGCCAATCATTCAAATGCTCCGTCGTCGCCAAATGGATTGTCCACACGCGATTCTCAACCACACCCATACCCCGAGATGGTATCAGCAGAGACAGAGCGGTTAGTACTTGTGCCTACAAACCCAGCACGGCCTCGTCGCAGAAGTGCAATATTCTCTTTCGTCCACTACCGGCGTATCCTGGTGAAGCAGCCCAAAGAGGCAGAGGGTGCTCATATACGGCCACATCACAACTTGATCTTGCCGTTCCAGATACCGTCTCCCAACCTTCTTTGCGCTGGACACATCTCAGCCGGACTTATAGGCTGCAGTTGTCTATGGAGTTTTATGGCGTTTATGGTGTTCCGAGGTATAGGGTGAATACAACCGAGGTTCCTGTGGCTGTTGTCTCGGACACGTCATCGATGGCTACCATGGATGGAGATGGTGATGGTGTTAATAAGTGTGATGAGGATAATGCGCAGAAGGGGGAAGGAGAAGGTGACATTTTCGCCAATGACTGTGAAGTGGCTGAGGTGGAGGAAGAGTCCATTTGGGAGGGTGGTACTGTCTGCTTAGCTTCTGGCGGTAGTGGTGGTGGTGGAGGAGGAGGAGGAGGAAGAGAAGAGGTCACGGGCCAGAAACGAAGGTTGACTGCCGCCAGAACACCACCGCCCGCGTATTTTCGATGAAAGGCGAAGAGTGTGCGTATGCGTGTAAAGTATATGACGGGTACGACTTATACCGTGCCATCCCTCGCCATCTAAAAACGTCGCTCGTTGAACTGCTGAACTCGTCCGTGAGATCAAGGGTGCTGCAATGGCCTCCCTCCCTCCCCTATCGAGAGAGATCCCTAGAGATAGGTACTAGATATAGCGGTTTCAATTCAATTCCGATCCGAGTTAGGTAGCAGTTCCCGAACTATATCCGCGCTTAGAAGTTAAGGATATAGTAGATTCAAGTTAATTTCGAAACTGCTTCGGGATCGATTACTAGGTACAGTACTGGCCTTCTATAGGTGCTCAATCCAGGATCGATCTAGGATCAGATCTAGTTCGGACCTAGTTCGGATCTAGTTACTGAACTAGGTCTGATCCTAGATCGATCCTAGGTCGATTCCTAGGTCGGAGGCTTAATCTGTTGATTTTCTCAGTAGATCGGATCCGGATCGGATCCGGATCACGTATTAGCTACTATAATAGTAAAAAAAAAAGAAGTGTTCGAAACCTACTAGGAGTACTTTTTTTTTTTTTTTTTTTTAAGACTACCGTTAGAATTTTTCTTTTTTAAATTCTAGGCGATAGCGACGTTATTGCTACTCGGCTACGGCGTCGTATATTATATTTCTAGTAGTATCTTCGATACAATCTATAACC